GTACTTTTGAGGTTAAACAAATGGTCATAATTAATTTAAATAAATTACAAGTTAAAAAGGGCATGCAAATTTCTGTTATTTTTATCGAAAAAATATCGAACCGTGAGACTGAAGTATTGAACCGAACCGAATCGTGAATTTTCTATATCGTTGTACCCCTAATATAAACATAAATAAAATCTGTTTTTTTAGTTGATTGCATTGAACAAAAAAGAAAACTTATGTATGTTTTAATATATTTATAAAAACCAGACATCCTTTTGTTTTTAAAGTCCACAGAAAAGCTTGAGCAGGGGGTGTCTGATCCTGGTCTTGGTCCTCAGGCCTGTTATCCTGCATGATTTACTTGTTTCTCTGCTCCAACACACTGATATGAATCAGTGATTACCAGGCTTCTGCAGAACATGAAGAGGTAATTTAACTATTAAATCAGCTGTGTTGGAGCAGAGAAACAACATGCAGGATAGTGGTCTGGAGAACCAGGACTAGACTCCTGAACCAGTGTGTCTTTAAAAAAAAAGTTTAAATCTGTTTTTTTTATGAAGTGGGTAGCAGCACATTTCTAAGCCCCCCGCCCTCCATGAAGGTTTGTCTTCACATCTTCAAACTTTCCTCTTTTGGAAGTAAGCCCACCCAGTCACAAGCAGACAAATCTACCGCTGAATGAAGCAAACGGGGAGGAGGGCGGCAGGGTGTCTTTGAGTGTCTGACACTTCCTGGTGGGATGACAGAGTGGCTCCTTCTCTGCTCCATGCATTAATTATCAAGCCGTGTCTGGAAGGCACTTTGTCAAAGAGATTGATGAGGGTCCGTCAACAGAGGGAACACATCTCGGCTTGGCCGGGGTGAGAGGAAGGGCCCCTCGTTTTCACGGCCTCTAAAGGTGCTGGCTGTGAGACAGAGTGGCACTGGAGTGATCCAAAATGAGAACAGCCTTGTGAGGCCGGCTTCGATGTAAAGCCGCAAACAGGTTCAGAAAGGAGGGTCGTTATTCATGTTGATGTCTTTAMGTCCCGCTCGGCCTTTGGCTGCTGTCGTTCCTACGTGCACAAAGCTGGGAAGTAAACCTGAGGTTCGGATCAGATCAGGCACACACGAGTCCTGGTTAATTTTCCAAAATAAAACCTAAAAGGGAACAGAGATTTTAGGATATGCTAATATTTTATTAACTAACTCAGAAGTGTGACGTTAAAAAACCTGTTTTAACTAAAGACTATCAACTATAAATCCTATTTAATATTGTAGATGAATAACTTAAAGATTTCTTTAACAAAAATCTGTTTATGTTCATTAAACTGGCCCCAAATCTCAACATTCACAACTTTCAGCCATAGTTAATTTTAAATTTATGAATTCAAATGTCTGGATTCACAACATCACAGCCATGAAAAGTCCCTTTGTGTTTTCTAGCTTTAATTCATGAATCAGATGAGTTAAATGTAGTGTGTGTGTTTGTGTGTGTTGAGGAAGCAGGGGTGGAGGGGGTTTGGTCTTGTGTTGGCTCATTACACACAGGGAGGAGAGAGGGATGGACGGACAGATGGGGAGAAATAGCCTGAAGAGAAGCAGCAGAGGAGACAGAGGACAGGAGGCGCCGGGCGACACACAACAAAAACCCTGAGACCTGACGAGGAGCGAGGACATCATGGCCAATTTCACAGGAAACTGGAAAATGAAAAGCAGTGAGAATTTCGACGAGCTGCTCAAAGCTCTGGGTAAGAACATTTCCTCTCTTCTTTCATGTTGGAGTTTTCAATCAATCAGAAATGATCACTGGTCGGCTTTGTTGAGTGTTTTACAGAAATTAGATCCTGATTCATGTTGTTTCTTTCAAAACATGCAGTTAACTAATTTAGTTTTTCACAATAAAAGCTATAAAAAGCTGGTAAGTTTTAAAAGGGAATTATAAACAAGATGAAGGCAACATTAAACATGTTCAGCACGCATCAAACCAAAATTAGCATAAAAAATAGATAATACATGAGTAAAACCTTATTAAAAGCAGAAAACTGATTAGTTTTAACTGCAAAGAAGACATTTCTTCATACTTGGGGGTCAAAATGAGATTTTAGGACAGATTTACTTTCAATAAAACTCATAAAAACTACACTGCATGAGCACATTCCTCAGGTTTGTCACACTTCATTTATTTGTAATATTAAAGCAGGAATGCGGGAGATAAAAGCCACCCTGAAACAGAAATATTAGGAAAATAAATCACTTACTCAACCGAGGCACAACCGAGGTAACAAAAAGAGGAAAAAGTTTTCCCACATCGGATCATTTCTGAACCTCCATGATGGAGGGTTTAGAGTTCCCCCTCTTGATCACGATCTGCAGAGGAGGTAAACAAAAACAAACTGCATCAACATTCCTCCCTCTCATCATAATCATCCCACCTTCAGGTTTGCAACATCTGCAGATAATAAACTCACTCACAGCTCCCCTTTTTTTAATCCTTTATAACAAACACGTTTCACACTGATTTATTCACCTGCCAGCCTAAAAGGGCCGCGTTAACGCTGAGGCAGACGAGTGACTGAGTGAACAAACCGAGCTCCGYGTCTCTGGGTTTCAGGCGTGAACGCCATGCTGAGGAAGGTGGCGGTGGCGGCTGCGTCCAAACCTCACGTGGAAATCAAGCAGAACGGCGACCACTTCTACATCAAGACGTCCACCACGGTCCGCACCACGGAGATCAACTTCCTCGTGGGCCAGGAGTTCAACGAGGAGACGGTGGATGGCAGAAAGTGTAAGGTAAGTTCATGAAACCAGAGACGTGCCCAGATATGAGCTTTTATTTTGACGTGGCAACGCCAGAAAACAGCTCTCAGGTTGTTTTACTGATTTCATGGAGCTCGTTAAGGATTGATTTATTTTGTTTTCCTGCAGAGTTTGGCCACGTGGGAGACAGAAAACAAAATGTTCTGCAAACAGTCTCTGGTGAGCGGGAACGGCCCAAAAACCTTTTGGAGCCGAGAACTCAGAGGGGATGAACTCATACTGGTGAGCAGGGCCTTTTTTTTTCTTTAAAGTTTGAAAACAATGTGGACAGACTGGAAAAGGATGCTGTGTRAAACTGATTCCACTCTAAACATGTCAGATCTGCTCTTCTGTTTAAAAGTCCCTTTTTTGTTTGCTTTTGTTACATTACAGCTCCCAGACACTCATGTTTCTTTATAATTGATGGATCGGCTACATAATGATAACATTTCTCTGCAGATGGTTGGATGCATCACAAAGTGTCAGATTTGGAAACCACCTCCTTTATTCACTTGGGTCGTCTAAACGATGAGATTTGTCATTTTGTTGATGATTAATGTGGTCTACTCTGAAAGGAAAAACTCAACATTATGCAGAAATATAATAAAAGGCTGATTCCTCCTTTTTCATTTCTACCTAAAAATCAGTTTCTTAACCATAAAGGAAACAGAAACAAAAAGCCCAGTTTTGTTTTAAAACTCTTCTAAACTTTCAGAAAGTCAAACAAGCCTGAGAAAACTTACATAAACTTCAAAAATGATTATTAGCAGCATATTTAGGCTCAACTGTTAACAAAATATCTATAACACTCATAAACACATACAAAGTAATGGGACGCTGACAAGCTTGGTTAGGGTGATGATAGACTTTTATTTTGTAGGTCTAAAACTAAAAAATTTGTGTAAGCCTGAGTGATTTTTATTGTTTTAGTGTGTAGTAATGAAACATAGTTTAAATCAGCAGTTTATTGGAGTTTTATGAGAACTATAAACTGTTAGATTGGATCAGCAACTTTAATTTTCTGCTGCTTTGTTTAAAAAAAGAAAAAACTGGTCTTATGACCACAAGCTTTAAATAATGGTTTATGGAGTTATCTGAAACATCGCTGCCTTCAAATAAATAAATACAAATCTTATTGTAACCCTAACAAATAAAAGCATGACGACAATAATCCTGTCTCATCACTACAGCTTGAAATCTTTTTTTCATTTAATTTGATTTCAGGARACTGTCTGAGGACCACCACTTGTTTTATGAACTGAAGTGGGGTCGCAGCCCCAACTTAATGAATCACAAATCTTCGATACAACCGAATGATTTAAAATATCTTTGATATTTAGTTTTTTAGCACTTTAAAGGAGGCATTTGAAGATGTTGATTTGGATTTTGAATAAAGGAGAAATAAAAGTTTTGCAGATGTTTTTAAAGACCAAATRATTGATCAAACCATCTGGATCTTAGGGTTCAGTCACAATAACGTTTTCATCCATTTATGCTGACTTCTGTTATGACTAAATTCCTCATATAGGGTTTATGTTTGATTTAATTATCAGCATTACAGTATGTATACGTCCAAAAGAGGCTTCAGTAGATATTTAATGTAAACATCTTCAGTGTTAAACATTAAAAGGCAAGTGACAATGTTTTTTTCTGCTGTTAGGAAAAGAACTGAAAACTGTACAGACTTTAATAATCCTTTGAGCTAAAATAAGTCGTGTGATCTGGATTATCACCATTTCTTCTGATGGTGTTTAAACGTTTATCTGTTCAAAGGTTCTCAAGCCGTGCATCATTGTGTCGTGCTTTCATCTGTGTTGACTGCGACACTTTCTCTGGGTTTCTACAGAGAAACCCTGTTTTGATCCTGAAAGGCTGAACGCGTCGCTGCCATATGTTTGTTGTTGCATTCCTCACAGCACTTTATGGTCTTGGATCCATCAGAAACACTTCTGCTTCCAGTTCCTGACTAAAAAAAAAGATTCTTACAAGAAACCTGTAAACATCTGGTCTGGGTTTACTGACCAGATGGGGAGGAAAAAAGAGAGAGGTTTTGTCCAGTTTGRCTTTGATGAAGATCTCTTTATGGACTGTGACTCACCTCTGCAGAGAGGCAATCAGGAGTTTGGGGAGGAAAGTGGGGGTGGTCGTAATTTGGACTGAAAACAAGTTTTTAAACGCGAATAAATGCTTTTGGTTTTACCAAATGTGTTTTTGTTTAAGATCAGGGTGTGCACTTCTGTTCTTGTTGGACTGATAAACTGTAATTTGATAGGCATGTGGGAATGCATCACCAAAATAAGAAAGAAAGAGAGACTTCTCGAAGAAAAGATCACACAGTTTTGAGGTGAGAGAGGTCAAGACGGCTGTAATAAACCTCAAACTCTCAGAATGTTTAGATTTGGCTGATTTGAGTTTATGAAGGCGTTAAAAAGATGATTAACTGACCTGAAGACAGGGTGTCTGCAGAGACTTTGTCATGTTCTTAATCAAAATAAGTCTGGAACAAGTCATAGTACTCCCTAAATGCTATGAATAATTTACCAAATGAAGTTTGTTTTATTAAATCAATGCATATGACATACAGCTCTTGACTGTAAGCAGTATGCAGTACTTTATAGTAGTCGGTATCTTACCTGCAGTAGACAGCAGAACCAGAGAGAACTTCTCCTGGAGGAGTGCAGCTAAGGGCTACACAGAGCGTGATAATATTAATGCACTTTATTATGATCCCTGCATGCGAAGTGAGGGTCATATTGTTTATTTATTTTTTCACCAATCAGCACAAAGTTTGGTGGGAGTGTACCAGTAGATGTGTCCGACCTACACTGTGCCGACCAACAGTTTTATGATAGACCTCATATTTGAGGAGGGGGCTCCACCTGAAATGGGGGTGCCTGGACATACAAAAATGCTTATAATTTAAACTATTTGACGTAGGAGCTTCAGAATTATTTTTGTTGTTGTTTAGCTCTGATGAAGGGCTATGCATCAGGCCCACTAATGACCCCACACAAAACAATAAATCTGTTCTGTTGACTTCTGAGTTATAGTGCATTGCGGTTGTCATAAATGCTACCGCTATCTAGTTTGTAAGCACATTTAAAATGCCTGGGACATGCATTTTGTGCAAATACAATACGTGGAAGAAAACTTTTTTATTTAAGAAATCTGGCATAATACACTTTATTTTACCCATTTTATCACCCAACTGGCCGATTTTTTAACACTTAAAGTGAGCCAAAGTGAAACAGGAAGTACCATCAAAACATAACTCGCAGGTCTTTGTTTATTGAGACAGTATTATTTTAAATCTGACTCTTTGTCTTTCTGATAAGGACTCAAAATAATAACAATAAAAAAACATCAGATTCTTCTCTGCTGTCTGTGTAGTAAGACAGTGTAGCCATGTTCTGCTTGCATGCAGATTCCCCTCTTTTTTGTCATCACTTCCTGTACACGCAAATATCTCAAGGACTGTTCGGTTCAGCAGCGTGAAAATTTTGTTCCCATTCAATATTAATTTCATCTTTTCAAAAATGCATTAGTATTTATCATGAAAATGAAATGTCRTGGGCACTTTGAGACACCCAAGGACACTTTACAAATTTAAAAACAACATGACACTAAATTAAAGTTTAATTATGAAATATGATWAAGGAAATTGGAACAAGTAGGCTAACCTGAAGAGGGGAGCTTTGAGTCAGGATTTGATAGTAGGAAGTTTAAAAAGGTGCTGAAGCAGACAGAGGGGATGATGAGGTGAATAAAGAAAGAATAGAGAGCAGCAGGGGTGTTGACAGATAAGGAGCGAGGTTATGGATGGCTTTGAGTGTGTCCAGCAGGATTTTTAATTTTTTATTTTTCGGGGTGGCTGTGGTAGAGTGGTTAGGGGAGTCGACCTGGAACCGGAAGGTCGCAGGTTCGATTCCTGTCCAGTCGACTCAGTCATTGTGTCCTTGGGCAAGACACCTTACTCACCTTGCCTACTGATGCTGGTCAGAGGGTCCAGTGGCACCTGTGTATGGCAGCCTCGCCTCTGTCAGTGTGCCCCAGGGCAGCTGTGGCTACAATGTAGTTTGCCATCATCAGTGTGTGAATGTGTGTGAATGTCTGCCGTGTAAAGCGCTTTGAGTCTCCCGGATGGATAGAAAGGCGCTATATAAATACAGCCCATTTACCATTTAATTGAGTTCTGGATATGACCGGAAGCCGCAGGGTGATTTGGTAAAATGAGGTGGTTTCGGTAATGATGTGGGCAGCTGTAATTTGAGGCATTTTCAAGCATTTTTTAAAAACAGTTTAAAACTGCATGAGCTCTCCACCCCACATTCATAACAGGAACATCTTGAAAGGTGCTGAGTCATTTTGATTCAGACGGTTGTTGGAAAAGAAAAGCCTATCAGTGTTTGTTTTAGGCAGACTCAGTCTGAGTAACTTCCTGATGATTAAATCGATGACGTAAAAACAACATATTTAGCTGAATGAGGTTTGAGTTGTTTTAGRTGGCAGAACTTTTAAGTAATGTCTCATCTCAGATGTAACAGCCCAGTGAAATATCTAAAGCYCAGTTCATAAAACATGCTGAGAAAAAAACAAAAGACCTTCATGTAAGTCTCAATAAATCCAATTTAGATCTCTGAACTTTCAGAACATAAACCTTAACTTAAACTACCAGAACTAGCCTCATGAGTCCTGTTGGCACAGATTTAATAAAGATTGAAGAGACAATAAGTAACAATCATTATAAGTACAGGGAAGTGTTGCACTGGAAATAACATGAAGATGCTATATAAAAGCCACAAACTCCAATGTATGACCCTAATTTTTTACATTAAGTCAATTTAGTCAACAAATAATGGTCAGTACCAGATTGCCCTAAGATACAGAAGGTCCTAATAAAGCTGTCTCCAGTGAAAATGTTGSAGGATAAACTCAAGACTATTTGACTTATATAGTGAGGAATCTCACGCACTTTCTCCCCATGTCAATAGGATAAATAATGTTTTAAAGAGAAAATATAGTCCCACATTAACTGCTTCACTGTGTGGGTGGGGGTTGGATTTGTCTTCCTGTGGTCTCCGAATTGGCTTCATTGATCATGTTGATGAAAAGAAGCACTAATGGACTCTGGCGTTACCTCCACTCAACGTCTCCTGCGGCACCACACCACTTGCCAGATGGAGTCGTCGCAGCTCAATTATCCTCAGCTCCAGCCYGGCCCCCTCTGTGCTGCCTGAGATAATGACACGTCGCGAGTTATACTCTCTGCTACGAGTCGTCCTAGTCTTCTTTTATGAGGAAACGACAAGACGTCAGGCTAAACTGTTTCACTGTAACAATAACTTTTATGAATGAATGAATGAATGAATGATTTATTTGTTCGGGACAGTGTGCAATTAAAACATAATTTGATGCATTGCACCAGATTTAGCCTAAGGCTAATTTACATCTGTAGTCCCATCAAACAGTAAAAACAAAACATCCAACAGTAAAATAGAAATAAGAGAGGAAAAAAAACAGAAAATAAAAATATAAAATAAAATATTTTGCAATTAAAAAATACATAAAACACCCCACCCCACTCTCCAAACATAAAATCATGCCCACCTCCGCCCCACCCTCCAACCCACACAACCAGAAACAACAGTAAAATCGATTACCCAGTGCAATTCAATGAGTGCAACACTGGGTAGATTTAAGGTATTTTTTAAAAGATTATTTTTAAGACTAATAAAAGAACTACAGTTTTTTACATGATCAGGAGCAGCATTCCACTGAGCGGTGGCTTTAACAGAAAAAAGCTGCTTCTCCAAATGCTGATCGTTGAGCAGGAACTTCACAGTTCTGCCTGGATGTTCTAGTTAAGCGCAAAGAAACAGCTGAACGATAATAAACAAATTTTTGCAAACAGATTGGTGCTAAACCGTTTAAAATTTTATACACTGTTTCCATATTTGAAAAAACTCTAAAATTCTCAAAAGAAAACAAGTTATATTAGTTTGGTGGACTTTGGACCGTCTGAAACGTTAGCACGTAGAAGATCCTGAAGATCAAAGGGTCATTTGCACAGGTTGACTGAAATAACTTGCACTGGATTATCAAGTCTTTCTGGGAAGGAAACCCATSAAATACTGCTGTTAATCTGAAATGTATTTCAGCCCTGTTGTGGAAAAACTTGCTTTGTTGCAGGAAATATAAAAACAACCACTTCATGTGAAATCCAATGGGTTTATCTCAGTGGTTCCCAACCCTGGTCCCCAAGGACCCTTATCCTTTGTTTTACTTGTTTCCCTGCWACTCAGCAGGTCTTCAGAAGATTGTTAATCACTCATTCATTCAAACCAGGTGTGTCAAATCAGGGAAACATCTAAAAATCACTGCTTTAAATGTTGACCAACACCTCAAGAGCTACTCTGAGCTTGATGAGACATTTTCAAAAATATATTGACTCAGTTTTATGTTTTTTAGTATTGCCTCTGGAAGCCATTGATTCTTTGCCATTTATATGTAAATAAATCAGATAACATGTATTGAAACAGTGATTCTCAACTGCATGTTTAGACRTTTCCCTGATTTGACACACCTGGTTTGAATGAATGAGTGATTAACAATCTTCTGGCTGAATAGCAGGGAAACAAGTAAAACGTAAAGGATAGGGGTATTTGAGGACCATGGATGGGAACCACTGGTTTATCTTACTACCTCATGAAAAGACCAAGACCATCATCCAGTAAATCTAAAATCTAAAAACCAGTGTGATRTCACTTTATAGTGCAGAGGGAACACGTCTAGTGGTGCTTCATGTGCATCTTTGCATACAGTTTGTCTGGCATGTGCAGATTCAAGTCTTCTTTCTWATCAAAAGACTCATGAGTGTCAGAACTGGACATCTGCAGGCTTGAGGACATAATCACTTACCTTCAWCATGACTCAGCAGATGTTAGAGGAACAGATACGAGGAGTTTCAGATCATTACAGAGCTGAGAGAGGTTTCACTTCTCGCAGTCAGCACCTGTTAAAGACTATAACATCCATCCAAAGCCAGCAGCACGTCTGAAAAATCATGATCAGAAAGAGTTCAGCTGTGAGTTATCACTCGGCGCCAAAAGGGGATTGATAATGTTTTTGACTGTTAAAAAAAATATTGATGAACCAGTAATGAAACTCACAGAAAGTACTTTCTACTGTCAATCCCATTCAAGATGGCTGCCACTGCTAAATAACCTGAGTCAACATTAAATGGTTATAACTCAGATATTTTTGCAAATACTGATATGTACTTTGGTATTAACTAGGGATGTCCCGATCAGATACTAAGTATCGGTGGCAGATGTGGCCATTTTTTGAAAATCAGGTAGAATCAGATCAGTCATGTGATCGGGCCGACCCAGTTTTTGTGACAGTTTTCAGCATCATCATGCTTTACAACTGCCGTTAAGAAGTCAAGATGCATACAAGTATGCAACCATGTCCACAGTGTGGGAACACTTTTCAATGGAAAACAATGATGCTGAAACTGCATCTTGCAAAATCTGCAAACTGGATGTTTCTCATGGTGGGAACAGCAGGGCTCGTTTTAATACTACCAACCTTGTCACTTGGAAAGAAACAAAGAAATAAAGCTATCGGATYGGTATTGGAAAGACTAATCATTAAAAAAATCGGATTGTATCGGGAGCCAAAAAATCTGGATCAGGACATCCCTAGTATTAACTGTCTGTTACACTTGGATAGATTTTAGTGGAACTCCCAGAAAGTAATCCCTTCCTGCACAATATTAATGTTAGATTCAACTCAGTTCATGATGGCTGCCACTGYTAACTGATGTTAGCTAACACAAAAAAGGGCAACAACTCAGTCAGTACTGAGCTAAATCTTGTGTGGTAGCAGATGTTCATCATCATGATATCTTGTGAGATAACTGCATGACAGAAGGTCATTTGTGAGGTTTGACCCAAACCTCTTTAACTCYGTCCCCTTCTCAGCATAAAATGAGTTGTTTTAAAGCTCCAACATGAAAGGTGCAGGTGATGTGCACTCCTATAAGAAATACCAGACCTTTAGTTCAAAAGAGGACAAAGAGTAAGCAATTGTTTTTGAAGGGTGTGGCAACCAAGTGTTGAAGGAAAGTGTGTGGGCGTGTGAACATGAGCCGGAAGAAAAGTGACTTAAAAGGAAGAGAAGGYGTGGAACCACGGGAACAATTTATTCTTCTTTGAATAAAGTACCTCAGAGTGTTTACTCTCATACTTAAGTACAGTAAATGTCAGATATTTTGACTTTAACCTTAAGGAAAGTAATTTTAGAAGATACTTGTACTTTCACTAATGTTTCCTACCATAAAATTACTTTGGTAAAGTTACTCAAATAGCTTACATTTACTGTACTTCAGTATTTAAAGTAAAAGTATTGAGTGAAACTGAGCTTTTGGAATTTCCAAAATGGCATTATTGGGAGGTGACCATCTAAAAAAACATTTTTCTAAAAAGGCATCGACAATAAAATTATATTAAAATGTGAATGTTAAATAATTTGGGCAGCATTAGGCTTTCTGTTTCAGCTGCATATACACGCTGCCTGGCCAAAAAAAAGTTGCCACCTGGATTTAACTAAGCAAATCGGTACGAGCCTCCTATTGGATAATTACTGCAAGGGCGATTATCTTTCACCTRGCAACAAGTTATTTAACCCCAACTGGTGCAATGAGTTTCTTCTCATTTCTTAAACAACCATGTGGAAAGACATCCTGTGGTCRTGGAAAAGATGTCAGTCCGTTTGAGAAGGGTCAAAGCATTGGGTAAAAAGGCTTCAATTTGCTAGAGAGCAACCAAGTTGTCATGTAGTCTGAGTCCAGATTGACCCCGTTCCAGAGTGATTGGCTCATCAGGGTAAGAAGAGGCAGGTGAAGTGATGTACCCATCATGTCTAGTGCCTACTGTACAAGCCTGTGGGGGCAGGRCKATTTGCCTCTGTCAGTGCWTCCCAGGGCAGCTGTGGCTACAATGTAGCTTACCATCATCAGTATATGGATGTGTGTGCGAATGGGTGAATGAAGTGTAAAGCGTCTTGGGGTCCATGGGGTTGYTGCAGTTGGTCAGGTCCAGGTTCAGCAACAGCATGTGCTCAAAGAATGAGGTCAGCTGACCTGAATATACTGAATGAYCAGGTTATTACGTCAATGGATTGTTTCTTCCCTGATGGCACGACCATATTCCAAGATGACAATACCAGGATTCAYGGGGCTGGAATTGTGAAGAGTGGTTCAGGGAGCATGAGACATCATTTTCATACATGGATTGGCTCCRCAGAGTCCATTGAGAATCATGTGCTGGAGAAGGTCAGACTCTACCATCATCAATGCAAGATCTTGGTGAAACATTAATACAACACTGGATGGAAATAAATCTTGTGACATTGCAGAAGCTGATCCAAACAATGTCACAGAGAATGTGTGCCGTAATCAAAGCTAAAGGAGGCCTAATGAAATATTAGAGTGAGACTTTTTGTCTCTTGTTCAAGTGTGATGGATCAAGTACAAACTAATAGTGTCAGAATGGTGTATTTATATTTCTCACAATTAAATTCACTCTCTCCAAAAGGCACCATATATCAAGATAGTTTTTTATGATGAGCAGGATTTAAGTAAAAATGAAATACTGGTACTAATGAAATATTTGGAAACATAATTGAGTGAAAATGTAAAGAACAGAAGTAAAAGGTCAGCTGAAAAACAATTACTCCAGTACAGGTAAGTAAAGTAAGTATTTGTACTTGGTTTTTTTGACACCTCTGTTATTTGGAAAAAAAAAACTAGACTCTGCAACATCCAACACACACCAGATCTCGTAAAAATATTCGTTTAAGTAACGTGCAGCTGCTGATAAATGTGTGATTTTCTCCCTTACAGATCTTTGGAGCGGATGATGTGATCTGCACACGGATCTACGTTCGAGCATAACAAGACGTCCGTCCCCATTTTACTAAACACAAACATCCTGCAGAAAACAAAATGGAAGTTTTACACATGGATTGTTCCAACTTTCTCTGACTCACAATTTGATTTAGAAAATATTAATTTTTTATTTTGGATATAATTTTGTAGTTCGGCACATAAACAAAATGATTTTCTCCCTTCTTTTTGGCACCAAAACAACCCACATTATGAATATTGCTGGTTTCACCTGATGGAGAACCTACTGGTCACAATGTGAATAAAGATATTCAGTGTGTATGCTGCAGAATCCAGTTCTTTTTTCTATTTATTATTTTTTTATGAAATTGGTCAGGACATAAAACAAGAAAATGGGTGAAAAAGAAAGCGGTCAGATGAGATTGTGTCTGTTCAAAGGGTAGTTTAATGCCAAACACCATACTAACACTCATGTACAACATCATAAAAGTCAAGAGAAGTGACACATTAAACGAGGTACAAACAATATCTGTATGTACAATCAGCTCGCCCAGGACCTCCTGTGGTTTTCTATTACAAACACAGTGAATATAAAAATAAAAACCCAAGTATTAAACTATTTAAAGATTGTCTGCAGCTGGTCGGGTTACTGACCGCTGCCGTTACTGGAACATTTCATCAGGCAGTTTTTGGTTCCCATCAGGATCGGTGCCGATGATGATCTCATGTAGTTTTGCTTCCATCCTGCCATGAAACCAAATGATGAGTTCACGGTCACCCTGTTATTTTCACTGTGAGGTTCAAGTTCCAGCATTTAGTCTGGTGGATGTCTGTCGTCCATCAGGGTCAACTCCAAATTTACTCAAACGGGAAAGAGAAAAGGCATTTAAAATGTTTCGATTTCTCTCGTGTTTTTCTAAATATACATCCTCAGTTGTATTGCAGCAAGAAATACAAACTGACAGGAAATTATTGCTTGTTTTCCTGATCCTTTAACTGTACACAAGTCACACGGCTGACATGTGCGTGCAGACCAGCTACTAACTGGCAACACGAGCCGATTAAAAAGTCAAAACCTGTGTACAGTTAATWGGAGAAACGCAGATTCTAACCATTTTTGCAAAGTTCAAATACAAGACAAAGTACTCTAAAGTACCGTGAAAGCAGCCACGCAGCATACTGCAGTGTCATGAGGAGAAGTTGTTGCTCAGCTACATTCAGTCATCTCAAAACCAAGCGCGACACTGATGCCTGAAAACTGCAGGTCCAAATGCACAGAAGATCCAATCGCTTTACTTTTTTTTGTTTTTTTTAAACCTTTTATTTATTTTTGTATTTATTTATTTTTTGCTAAACAATGTAATTGACAGACCATAAATTAAAAATGTCTCTGAGTAACTTCCTTTGGTAAAAAAAAGGGGTTAAGTTTGCCTTCTCTTCATAAAAGTCTGTGCATCCTCTGGCTAAAGATTGACACTTTATGTGTTAATGTTTGCTACACATCAGTAACACCTGATTAAAAAAAAGAAAAAAAATCTAGATATAAACAACATATTTACACAAACTGTTTGGGCAAAATATAAATTACTGTGCTTGATCCACTAAGCTGGCATTGTTACGAATGCCGAGCGTCTATCAAGCAGGTGGCAGAAATGTGTACATATATACTGTATGAGCAGTGCACTGCTGCACTTTTACAACCAACAGAGAACATTCACAGGTTTTACAGGTTTACAGCTGGAAGCCACGTTAAGCTCAAAATCCAAGCACAAACATTTGAATAAAAGGTAACAGGTTCTTGTTACCTCAGGAGAAAAACTGAGGCTCTCGTGTTTTTATTTTCTTTAAAATCATTTAAGTGTTCCTCGAAAAAAGAAAAGACATTTCTTGTCCTTGAGTTGCTGAGTTTTAGTAACGAAAGGGCTAAAGTGGGACTTGCAATACAGAGTGGGTAAATCGGGTGTTTTCCTCCCCTGTATACATTTACATATTTATATAGAAAACTCTACGCGAGGGGGAAGTCCAGAGAGAGCAACTTGTGTAAAACCCAATTTTAAAATTTGCAGCAAACGTGTAAAGTTTTAAAATATTCTGGATGGTGTGTGGAAAATTAAAAATGTACATCCTCTCTGAATTACAGGTGAATCACCCAAAAGGTTTTGGCAACCGTGTGCAGTAATGGACAGGTGTCTGGCAGTACTTACTGCCACAGTTTACTGAGAGTACTACAGTGTCCTGTACTTCACCCGGTACTTGTTAATGTTGAGATAATGGAGGACCTCGGGGCAGCAGGTGGTGGTGCACGGCAACAGGCCCTCTTGTCCTTCTCCCCTCAGCCAGTTCAGAGTTTTGGCAGACATCTCGCTCGTCACGTGAGTCGAGGCCCAGTCGTCCAGCCAGGTCTGAAACCGTCTGTGGAGGCGGGTGTGCACCTGCTGGTGGGACTGAAAACACACGAGAACAAGACGGCTTAATACAGCAGAGACTCACATCATCAGGTGAAAAAAAAAACAAAAAAAACAAAGATCCTGCACTAAATTTGTTTTGCTAAGGTGATTCCAGAAAGTTTCACATTTCCTTTAAATGTCTGAAAAGCTAAATTATGTTTAAATAAGCTTCTAATCTTTAAAAAGTTTTTTTTGAGAAAATTTGTATACTCTTAAAATTCACACAAAAATTGTCCATCCAACCAAGACTTACAATCTTATATCCAGCCAAAAAATATTTTGATCCAGCGCAGAATGCATAAGATTATTAATCTTGCTATCCTGGAAATTTGACTCAAGTGAAATAATCTGCCGATGGAGTAAGACAGTTCACTTGGTAAGGTTCTTGAAATCACTTAATTTCACTCAAATTTTCCTTATATAAAAAACATGTTATTATGTTAATTATGTTTTGCTACTTTTCTTCTTGAAAGCTGCATTCAACACCAACTTTCAAATCCTGATACCCAAATATGGTAGGATGCTTCCTCTTTAGTATGATGACAAGAAGTCCTCATTAGAATAAGCTGAATAAAGACAAATCAAGCCACATCCTTTGAACTGCTCATAATATCAGGATGACCCAGGTTTTAAAAATGAGTTTAAAAAAGTTTAGTTTAGTTATCGTGTTTAGTTGTTTTTGATTCACATTTATTTGTTTACCTTTACACAGTGTTGTATAAAGTACCACAAAGTGATAGTTGAGTAAAAGTAAAAGTATCTTAACAAAAAATTACTTTGGTAAAATTTAAAGTCTCCTTTAGGAATATTGAGTAAAAGTCTTGAAGTGTTATTTTTTGTACTTAAGTATTAAAAGTAAAAGTATTGATTTAAAATGAGTAATGACATTTATTAGGAGGTGACCTCCTCAGAAACGACTGTCGTATTAAAATAATAGACTAGTGCATCCTAAATTTTACAAAAATTAATCTGTTTCAGTTTATATACATATATCAAGGTTGCACGAACCTTTTCCTCAAAATGAAARTCTGAGGGCTGCAGCCAAATGCAAAAATATTAATTCATGAAATACAAATACTTCTTAAGTACAGTCCTTTTATTTTAATAATTATGTCCTGCTTGAGTGTGACATGATTTGTTTGTGTACAAACTAATACGGTTTCAGAATTTTATATATTTATACTTCTCATTCAACCACAGTTAATTTCGCTCTATGTAGGAGGCACAATTTATATGGTTATTATTTATTTTTTACAATAACAAGCTAGAATGAAAACAAGCAAAAATGAAATAAAAGTAACAACTTTCTACTTCTTGTCTTTTTAAAAAATGTAAGGAGTAGAAAGTACAGATAACTGTGTGGAAATGTAAGAAGTAGAAGTAAAAAGTAGGCTTAAAACTAATTACTCAGGTAAAGTACAGATACCCAAAAATTCTACTTAAGTACAGTAACAAAGTATTTGTACTTAGTTACTTTAAAACTCTGCCTTTACAGAACAKGAGGCTGTCATTGCTTACAGAGAAGCAGCAGGTTGGTGTACTGACCTGATGGGCTCGGGACAGTGCTGTGTGCCTGTACATGTAGTCCTCAGACTTGCAGACATAAACCATCTTGTAGGAGTTCAGTTTGAACATGCACTTCATCTTCAGCTCGCTGCTGCTCTCCTGCGACTTGTCCGAGGAGCCTTTGGTGAGTCTCTCCTGCTGCAGCTGCTCCCATCCTCTCTGGCACTTTCTTATCCGCCTCAAGTTCCTAAAGACCAAAAACATGAAAAATGAACGAATACATGAATATTAATGTTGAATGAAAAGTAAAAATCCTTACCAAACTATTTTAATGTTTTGCTAAAGTGTCCGCCTTGTGTGACTTAAAGCATTTTTAGAGGGGCTATATACAGTGCTTGTGAATGGTCACTATCTTACCTGCAGCACACAGTAATCAGTGTGATCGCTGGTGAAGCAGAAAGAAGTTCTCATTGAGGGGTCAAATCTAAACGTTACTAAAGCTTTTATTACCATTTTACATCAGACAGTTACACAACATGACCAGTGTTTGACCAGAGTTTTTGAAAAAAATAAAAATAAAAAATACCTAAACTGCACTCTAATTGCGATCTACTGCAGGTAAGACACTGACTACTTAGAAAAACTACATGAAAACCACTAAAAACAACATGAAGCATCTGGGATGTGGTCCAACTTAATACAAATGACAGAAGACAAACTTGGGGAAAAAAACAAATAAATAAATTTGAGATAAAAATCCAATGAAACTATTATTTTTAAAATTGTGCACTCCAACTCATTTAGTAACTACCGTATTTATACGTGTGTAATGAGCTTAGAGTATAATGCAACCCTTATTAATTTTTTTTTACTTAAAAAGCATAAAAAATGCATAACAAAATCTAATCCCTGTGTATAATGCTACCTGTAGTACATACAGATTAGTTACAGACTACAGATAAGGAGCTGCAGCGTGAGCGTCTGCATGTCGCTGAGGCCGGGACTTCAATTTAGCAAGATTTAGAATACGTTTTAAGGAATTTAATTATTTGTACAATATAAAAACACAGACACACCATAAAACAGATTTAAAAAGCATCTGTGCAGAAGACCCTAGAGTCTTATCAGACCACCTCCCATATGACACCACAGACTCAACAGCATGCAAGAACAACATATAAGATGGACTTCTGAAAACATGCAGCTGACGTCGTCTCCTCCAGCTCCAGTGAAAACAACTGCTGTTGTTTAAATGTTTAGCTCTGAGGATTTATCCCCCATCGACACAATATTTCAGTTGTATACGAGAAAATATTGAAATTTAATGCAAAAGTAGTTCAATTTTTCACATTACACAGTAATTCAATTTTTAGGGAGTTGAATTTTTATTCCCTAAACCTAAAACTTGAAGTTTTATTGTGTCATGATAAATAAGGAGGAGAAGACTAAAGCCATAGATACATATTGCCAATACATATTACATAAAAAAGAGCAAACGAGAGCTTAATGCGCAACACTTATTGGAGCCCAAAGACAAGGCTGTAAGGTGTCTAGAAAGAAGCAACAGCTTAAAAACACATCATTTAAAGAACAGGTTTATTTACAAACCCTCAAACAAAGAAAATCCTCATCATTAAACTCTGTCACAGCACTGTACAAAAAATTTCCTACTGACTAAAAAGATGCAGCTCAATACTAGCAGACTTAAAGGTGTGTGCAATTTAACATTAAAAATGCAAACTGACACGAGCAGGGCTTTAATCTGAATACAATCAAAAACAATCACAAACAAAAAATTGAGGAGAAAACCAAGACTTTTTCACAGATCATCCACAAACTCTTCAGCGTTTCAATTTTTTAAAATAAAAATAAAAAACATATACACAAATTAAACACATAATTTATTCGAGCTGTGCAAGAGCAAAAATCCAAAACCTCAGAATCTAAACTTTTATAAAACCATAAGTATGGCCAATAAAAGACGACCGCGGAAAGTTTACCCTTAAAATACAACAAGGATAACTCAAATAACTCAAAGAGAATAACTCAAAAGATGTTAGTGAAAACAGGTCACTGTGACCGAGTCGTAAAACCGTGGGTCAACCGAGGTGGGCTCTCACCTGGGGAGGAAAACCGGTTTCTGGGCCAAATGCTCACGAAGCTCCGGGGAGGCAGAATCTGAGGTTAGGTACCTGCTCACATAATCCGACCACTTCTGTAGAGGGAAGAAAGGAATGAATGAATTAACAAATAAATAAATAAATCTTTATACATGAATATTAATCATCTGAATGCCTGACGGAAACCAACCTACTCTAAAAATACAAAAACTGACTGGATTATATCAAATTTGTGTTGATAAAACAATCATTTGATGCTTGTGAGCAACGCAGCTCAGTTCAGCATGTTCACTGGTTCTTACTTCTGCATCAGCCGGCTCGTCAGAGTTCTCCTCCTCCGTGTCCAGCAGCTCCAGCGCCAGACTGACGGACCCTCGATTCTTCATAAACATCAACTGTGCAGCACACGAGCAATCAGAGGACAGTTAATATACACAAGGTGTTCAATGAAAAACAACCTGGTGCAAAGTTCAAAGCTCTTCCTTCTCTTTTGGTACCTTGAAGCAGTTCTCATCTGACATCAGCTGCTCTGCTTTGCGCTGGTACGTCCCCTCTGCAGCAGCCCTGGACGTTTGCGTGGAGACCGCCCCACCTGTGGCTTTACTGGCGCTCTCACTCAGGTACATGTCGGTCACACGCGCACATATGTCATCAGTGACAAGATGCTGGAGCTGGAAATGCAGTAGGTTAGGTGAGCAAACAAATGTACCCAGACAATAAATGTCAACACGTTGAAAATTTTGAAATGAGCAACTTTAAAAGGATTAAAAACAAATGCACTTTGTAAAGATTAGAGATCAAAGACGGATCAGGACTAAACTATTTACAATAAACCACCACATTTCATGTCATAGTGTAAAATCTACCAACCTGTCGGACAATGCTCTGAATCAGTTTGTCCATGGTGAAGGCGATGTAGGCGTGGATAGTAAACATTTCTCTCAGGGAGTCCTCGTAATTGGCCGGCTCCATGTTTCCATCCAAAAGGTTTCGCACCATTTCCAGAAACACAGAGTAGTACTCGTCTACCTCAACCTCCACTGCAGACAAGAAGCAGGACATGTGTTAAAAACCCGATGTGCAATGACCAAGTACAGGAGAAAAAACTGTCAAAGTTAATAATATAAAACTATTTACCTGAAAAACAACTTATCTAACAGCTGTGGTAGTCTTTTTCTCAAAGACTCAAATTCTCAAGATCAGCTCAAAGAAGCCCAGGGGCCTCTGCACGCTCCATCTGAACAGTTCAAATCCTCTCATTGTCGCAGTGTTGTGACCAGGGTTATTATAGTTAACTAAAACTAACTAAATCATCAAAACTGAAATTGAAAAAAACATTTTAGTTAACTGAAATAAATAAAAACTGTAATAAAATTTAAAAATAACTAAAACTGTATAATCTTTTTACAAAACTAAAGCTATAGATAGAATATTCTTAGTTTTAGTGTTTGTCAATTTACTTTAAGTCGTTATAGCACCTCATGGTCCGTAACATCATTTGTTTACAATTTGCTGCTGCTCAGCACTAGCCTGCAAACTGACAACAACAAAAATTGGGAGAAAGCAGCAAAGTTCAATTTAGGATTTTTTTTAATGACTGTGAGAAAAATAAAAGCAAGTGTCTTGTAATGGAAACAGGTGATAAAAAAGGTTGAATACTTCTCAAGGGACTAACTGTGAGCATCTTGACAAGCTCTCTCAGTAGCCCCCATGAAAAACACACAACAGCGCAGCCAGGTCGCACCAGGTTGGAGACAATGATCGTTACCTTCCTAAAATAATTGCCCAAGTCCTTTGTTGGCAAAACTGAGTTATGTGATTATTTCAGGAAGGTGTTACTATAATGGACTGTTTTCACTGGTGACCAAATAGCCGCTGGTTAGTGAACTCACAAGAACACCTCAAGTGGGAGGATGCATCAGCAATAATATGTTTATTCAAAAAATAAAAATACTAATACTAGAACTAATGAAAACTAAACTAAAACTAAGCATTAAAAAAGCAATAATAACTTACAAAAACTAGCAAAATCCACTCTAAAAACTAATTAAAACTAACTGAATTAAAAGAAAAAAGTCAAAACAAAATAAAACTTTAACGAAAAATCCAAAACTATTATAACCTTGGTTGTGACAAAAACACAGCATCATTCTGTTTGCAGCTTTGAATGTGCCGGCCCTTCTTGTCACAACTCGCTGGGAGAACTTCTCACCCTCCTCCACATAAGAACTTACTGTGTGATTGGGCAGACGTTTGTGGTCGTGTTGGGTTTTTTGTTGCTGAAAAACACCCAGATGCTGCATTTTGCTTCAACTACATTCTTCCAAATACGAACGGGACAAAGTGGACTCTTGTACCCAGAAGCAGACATTTGTCATATAACACCTGTCCTGCAGGAACAACACTGGCTTCCTGTTAAATATGGCACCATTTACAAGATCCACCGTCTTACATTTAAGGCTGTTAACCTTGCACCTCCATATACTTCACTTCTCCATGCTTACGCTCCTGCTTGTAAACTTAGATCCTCCACTTCTTCCCAACTGATTGCTCCTTCTGCTGGCCTGACCACAATGGGGTCAAGAGCCTTCAGCTGCTCGGCCCCCCAGCTATGGAACTCCATCCCCCTGGACCTTAGAAATACAGTGTCTATTATCACCTTCAAATCCCAACAAAACCTAAAAATCTGTTCAGGACAGCATATACACTTGAACCCTAATCTTTATAACTACCATTAATTAAGACTGTTATTATTTAAGCTTGCATTATTTTAATTTGTTTTGTTAATCGATTTATTTTTTTTATTGTGTTTGTTGTTATATTGTGATTTTATTACTGACTTTTGTAAGGTGACCTTGGGAGTTCTGAAAGGCACCTATAAATAAAATGCATTGCTGTTGTTGTTATAAGTTTGGAGCTTTAACCGGGACAGATTTGTGGACAAATAATGACAGATTGAAGTTTTTTTTCTCCACAGAGTGAGGACTCCAGCAGGAAGGAACCTCGTGCAGTGACATGTACCACAGTGGGAGGGGTTTCCCCGGAGTGGTGTGTCTCAAGGCCTAGAAAAGGTATGTGTGTGAAAGCAAATGTCGAACAACCAYGTGACTGTGTGTCGACTGTTGAATTATTAATACTTTCCTTTTATTAAACCTTTAATACAAACAGCATACTGAAAATCTTAAAATCCCAGGAATAATGTTTTTAAAACTTGAAGTAGAAAACCTGCACAGCTAAAGTCTAAAAACTGTAAGACGTAACTTACTTGGCTCCTTCATCTTTAGCTGGATTGCTGGATTTTCATTCTTCTCCCTCTTCAGCCCCAACACGTCTCGCTCGTGAGCGTCCTCCTCGATCTGCCTCTCCGCTTGGCCGTAGATGCGCAGCAAGCGAGAACAGAGGATGTGGTGGAGGCGAAAGAAGACGTACCAGTAGTTGTTCACGAAGAACAGGTTGTAGACGTCGTCKGCGCCCCGCAGTTTCTGAGCCGCCGTGCTGCTGAACAGGAGCTTGGACTTGGTGGGGCTGCGGCCGGGCAGGCCGTTGTGCTTCTTGGGGCCGTCCAGATTCGTCTCCACGTCGTCCCCTTCCTCCTCCTCTTCCTCCAAGTCGGAGAGCTCACCGCGTTGTGCGAACAGGAGGTCGGGGATGAAGTGGTGGATGATCTGCTTGATCTTAAACTTGTCTTCCTTCTGGATGCCTACTTGCCGTTTGACATGATGGATGATGAGGCCRGCGGCGTCCTCCAGGATCTGGCTGTCGTCGTAGGTCAGGGTCATGTGAGGGGCGCTGGGGGGCGGAGCGGCGGTTTCCTCTGAGGCTTGTTCCTGGCGCTACAGGACACACACGAGAGAAAACAGGACCAAGTTTTGATCTGATGATCCCAAATATGAGATAAATCTTGTGCCAGCAGGAATTGAATTTGAATTGCTCAGATTGAATCTCAATGTGTATAACTTGTAATTGAATGCATTGGTTTGAAAATAAATTTTACTAAATTGAAACTGAACTTAAAGTTCTTTTTATCTGAATTAATTTGCTTTGAAACTGTATTTTGGTTTATTGAAAATTCAGTTTGACTACTTTCACTTTCAGTTCCAAAATTCAGATTTTTGTGTCACATCCTGGTCCTTGAGAAAGCCAGCCAGAGTAATCAAACACAGATCCACAGATTTATGTTTCACTTCGATGAAGCTTCCCTTCTGWATGTTACAGAGTTGAAACAATTCACTGTAAAAGTAACAAAAACAGACAAAGTTATTTTATTGCAGTGATTAATTTTACCTATATGTAGAAAATGTTACATTTACATCACATCATGGATCAGCCAGCAGCATCTGATCAATATGATCCATGATGTGATGTAAATGTAACATTTTCTACATACTGTATATGTAAAATTAATCACTGCAATAAACTAACTTTGTCTGTTTTTGTTACTTTTACAGTGAATTGTTTCAACTCTGTTACATTCAGAAGGGAAACTTCACCAAAGTGAAACATAAATCTGTGGATCTGTGTTTGATTACTCTGGCTGGCTTTTTCAAGGACCAGGATGTGTGACACAAAAATCTGAATTTTGGAACTGAAAGTGAAAGTAGTCAAACTGAATTTTTGATAAACCAAAATACAGTTTCAAAGCAAATTAATTCAGATAAAAAAACTTTAAATTCAGTTTCTAATCATTAAATTCAGTTTCAATTTAGTATTTTCAAACCAATGCATTCAATTACAAATTATGCACATTCAGATTCAATCTGAGCAATTCAAATTCAATTCCTGCTGGCACAAGATTTATCCCATATCCCAACTTCTTTAGAAGCTTTGAAAGTTGAATTCAATTAAGTCTTTTGAAGAGAAATTGATGAATTTATTTATCCTGGCTGCTCCTAATGCTACTAATTTAAACGTCCCTAATCTTAAGAATCTATTAAACTTAACATGAAAAAAATAATAATTTCCTTACATCTTCATACAACATCTCAATTTCATTGAGCAAAGTCTTGGAGCGCAACACTTTGGTGTCATTCTGCTTGAAGTTTATGCCCTGGTGGTCGAGAGACTTCAGGTAATACTTCTCATTCTGTTCCCGCCAGATTTTGTTGAAGCCTCTCTGGGCTTCTTTCCACTCCTCCTCCTTCATTTTTAATCTGAAAAAAGTGAGAACACGTTATGTTACGTGTGTCTTTAAACTGTGAGTGAGCTGGGAAAGGAAACATCTGATTACCTTTTCAGAACTATGGGCACAGACACGGCGGGGTTTTTCTTGAGCCCGTCGATGATGTCGGGAGCTTTGTCTCCGTATATCCTCTGAATGGCTTTGCGATGAATGACCTCTGAGGAGCCGCCCATCGTGTTGTCCAGCCTGAAGCGCACCTGCTCCTCAGCGGACATACGAGAGAGCCTCCTTTGCACCGTCTCCAGAGCTCGGATCGTAGCCAGGTTAGTTTCCAACACAATGTCAAGCTGCCGAAGAAACAATACAACAATACAATTATCCAAGATCAAGATGTTACTGGTCAGCTAAACAGAGATTTAGTTTAAACTCTTGACAAAAGAGCAACACTTCTGTACATTTGTGAAACAACAGAAGACCTCTTTCCTCACCTCAAAACGCTCGTCCTCACATCTGTAAATATGCTCCTCGTACTGAGTCTTTTTAGAGCTCACAAATGTAGAATCCTCAGACCAAGATGGAAAAGAAACCCAAGTGTCGTTCAGAACCTGCAAAAAGCAAATCAGTTCAAGCTAAACRTCCATGAAATGTCATCAAACCGTTTTTTAATTTGACAGATAAAACTCAATGAAAAGATCATCCATCAGCATCGTTAGAACAGAGAAAATGAAAGCACATGGAATGACGCGGACCTCTCTGCACAGCGGTGTTCTTCCTGTGCACTTGGGTTGCTGGTAGCTCTTCGGCAGTGCTCTGTAGCTGGACCCCAGCCTCTTGCAGGAGGCGTAGTCGATCTCCATGGCAATACCCTCTGTAGAGCGCTCCTTGGGTAAACTCTCTGCATGGCCTAGGTCTCCATGACTGGACTCTCGGTAGCCCAGGAAGTTCTTAAACCACGTAAAAAGCTCTGGGAATTTTCTGGTACAAATACAAATATATAGGTAAAGTGGGAGTTGTTTACAAATTTAGAATTTACTCATTCTTTATTACTAAAACATCGTGATCTTTAAATACATCTAAATAAGATTGAAAATGAACTCCTATAAAAAACAGTTTAATTATTGTACTTGTAAACAAAATATTCTGCGGGTTTACTAGTTTCTGTCATAATCACCGTTTACACTTGGACATCACATATCTGTTTTTGACTTACCCGAGAAATGGGATAACTAACTGGACGAGCTCGGTGCGAGAAATCACTTCCTGGTTGAAGATGTGCAGACACCGCAGGAAGTTGTCATACGCCTCAGAACTCCGTAAAGCCTTCTTCACCTGAGTTCAAGTATTTCAACAAAGTTAAATCACTTTGCCTCGAGACGATTTTATTGTATCATACACATCTTGGTAAAAACAGCTTGTTTTGAGTAATACTGACCTTTTCAAAGAACATCGTTTCAGTGCTTGTACTGAGTTTACCAACTTCAGACAAACCATGGCCCTTCCCCATGACTAAAGATTTCTTCTGAAAGACAGTAAAAAGATTTCTGATCAAAATTTACATTTTTACTTCTAAAGACATTGTTTTATTAAATTGAGTATAACGTAATAACATACAAATACTCATTTTAATATATAGTCTATTCTCATTCAAATACTTTACATATAGAAATAAAACAGAAATAAAAAATGTCCAATATCTTTCGATACCTTTGGAGGGGGTGTGGCACCAACCCCAGAGGGTCTCCTGATTGGCAGGCCGTTCTGGTTCAGCCTCTGTTTGTTGTTCAGRGAGGGTCTCTTCACTGTGGGACCGTGATCGTTACGGACGGATTCTGCTCCGTCAAGAGCACCCTTACCCAAAAGCTAGAAGAGATGCAGATCACGAGAGATACGTCATAAATCAGACCAAGGAGATGAAGCAGACATGACAAGAAGAATAAAATAATCAAAAGAGAAATTTAATTACTTAAAAAGGTCAAACAGTAGTTACTTGGACCACTGACTAAAATACTCGTGTATTCAGAAACTCACCATTGAGCTGTTCGCATCAGGCAGAAACTGTCCAAACTCTGACAGCAAGTCCTCCTGGTTCTTGAAAAGTCTCGCCACTTGAGTGTAGACCTCCTGCTCAGTCAGTGCTGGTGTGTAATTACCACCAGCCTCTTTAGCATTGCGCTGCTCCTTCTGAATTATTTACAATAAAGAGAAAGCAGCGGAGAGTTAACGGTCTGCTTTCCTTCAAATACAAACAAACACAAAGGGGGTTTTTGTTATGAGCACGTATCTTCTTACCTGGTAAGTGTGCAAGATTTCCAGAAAGGCTTTGTAAATGTCTGGCTGACCCTGAAAGCGATTCTTTATCTTATTGACATAATTTATAGCGTGGTTAAACTCCACTGGTTGGTTGTTCTGCAGAGGTGGACCAGCGGTTGGCGTGCTGCTGACAGGAGTGTGGGGCTGAACTGAAGGTGAACGTGGTGAGGCGTACGCTGGGATGGATGGATTGGGCTGGCTGGTGGGCGTATGGGCTGGAGACTGAACTGGCTGTTGAGAAACAAGATTGTTACAACAGTTATCTGTTATCTACTACATCTGATTGATGGGTAAATATATGCTACCTTGCTGGTTTTGTTTATAGCAGGCTGAGTAGCAAGCGGCGGGGTACTGGTTGTGTTCAACGCAGTCTGTGGCAGGTTCTGGTGCTGGTGATGGCTCGGGAGTTGGCTGGATGCCCCACTTGCAGGGATGTTTTGCACAGAAACACCATGAGGGGTAATGTAGTGAATCTGACCTGGTGTGGTAACGTTGACTAGATCGTTGGTTTGAACCTCAATCTTATACCCCGGTGGCAGGAAAGTGTTRAAGCCCATGATGAGGTCAGGGTGGCCCTTAAAGAGCTGAGACACACGATTGATGACTCCAGGAGTGTCTATGCTGGAGAGACAGAAGAACCAACGATCACTAAATAAACTCATCTGCTTCACAAACTTTAGATATTGAAATTTAGATAACTTTTTTCAGATGCTGAGGTAAAYGGCAGTAAAACAAAATTTACCTTTGTGATTTGAACTCTTTCATAATATCAAGGAAATCATTATAAACTTGTGGCTGATTCCCAAACTGCAGTTTCACTTGATCCAGATARGAGAGGGCATCTTCAACCTACAAAACAAGGAGTGGAAAATTGTGATTCATGTGTAGACAAGAGATAACTGTGCCAGTAAAAGTAAAGCGCTGATTTAGTTTTGTCTGCCACACGCCAAAACACAGCTTTTGAGGCCTTTTAAAAWTTAAATCATACCTTTAGTCGCTGAAACTGCTGCTGCTGTCCTTGGGCTGAAGGCAAGGGTGCAGGTGGATGAACGTGACCTTGGACAACGGCAGGGCTCTGTGACTGAACGGCCAGGCTGTGTGCATGTGGACTAATGTGAGGAGTAGCACTGTTGTGTCCATGTCCACTTGTGCTTTGAGGCATYGCAGGCACCTTTCAAGAGAAAAATAAATAAACAAGAAATCCTCAGTGGTTTTATATAATTTCCCCCCCAACCCCCCGAAAAAAAAAAATCCCAAAAGGACTTCTGCAATCATCTCTTTCTTGAAGCAAGTTTAGTCATTTTTGTTTAAATCTAATTCTTAATTAATACAATTGTGACATTTGGACAAATTGTACATGTTTTTTTTTGTTTTGTTTTTTGAAAAGTATAACACAGCTGAATAAAAAATGTCCCAAATCATACCTGATAGCCTTGTGGGAGAGAATACTGGATGCCGGTTGAGGGCTGCATGTTTTCTGCAGGTGCCTCTACGACAGGACTGGGAGCCGGGGCAAGAGCCCGGTGCTGAAAGCTTTCTGCAATGCACTGAACTGGGGGGCGACGTGGTTGCTGTTGCTGGGGTGTAAATATTGGGTCTTGGTCTTCTGCRCGTCTCTTCATTGTATACACATACTCAAAGGGACTAAACAGAAAACAAAACAAACAAAAAATAATAAATAAATAATGATAAGTCAGCATCTACTTAGATAGATGTAAGAATTACATAACGTGTACGGTATTTCAAAATGTCTTTGTAAATCATAACACTATGCATTTGTGTTTGTGAAAGATGTCAAATCACAAAATAACATTAAAAAGTACATYTGGTGAATTTTTTCCTGTTTGAACATTTTTTTCAAAGGCACRGTCTGTAGGTGACAGCTCATTATCATATGTTGCAGCTGCAGAGATGTCTTTTTAAGACAGGTCCTTTAATTCTGGAATGGACAATAGATAGGAAAAAAATAAATAAACAAAATAAAGTTGTACATAAAGGCAAAATAAAGTAAATCAGACAGGATAAATTTGAACATATGCGTTCCTACGCAGACCAGCTATGATTACTGGATAGGGATCATCTTTAAATACGGAAATACACCTGCCACAGATATGACTTATGTAACACCTCATTCAGATATTAAAACTTTCACTAAGTTTTAAGTTATCTTTATATTATTAATGCATACATGATAGAAAAACTCCAGTTTTGAAATTACACGTATCTAGGTTGAAGACTGAAGAACACATTACGATGTTTTTTTTCCCTGTGGCCGTCAACACACATTTCTAAAGGAAAGTAATTTATTGACGGTCCCTACAAGATATCAGAGACGGGAGGGGCGAGCTGCTTTGTGCCTCATTGCGCCACACAACCGTTTTCGGTAAAGATGGTGGCGGAGCGTACGGTCTTCGGTCGCCGATAGTGTATCTCTCGCACACCTAGCTTCGACTTTTCTTTACCGAAACAAGACGAAAACACCCCCAGGTAGCAAAAGGGATGTAAAATTAGGGCTGCAGAGCAACAACAAGAAGATTAAAAAAAAAATCGAGCATTTTTTTTATCCGCCATTCTGGTCTTCTGCTGGCACGTAGGCGCTGTCTGTTTCGCTCGCTGTAGCCCAACCTCCTCCCCTCCCCCTCCGTGCTAAACACCGAGCGAGCTATCCGCTTTCTGCGAGGCGAGCTGACCGCTCTCGGTGCTCTGATGGCTGACGTTGATTTTCGTCCTGCCGTTAAGTTATGTGGCAAGCACGTTTCGATATCATCCGCAGTTTTAGCTAGCCGGTGACGCGGTCAGCCGGCATGTTTGTCACCTTCGAGATACCCGCTGAAAGTCTATGGTAAACTGGACTTTTGTTTGCAGAAACATGAATTCTCGGATGGTTAGAAGACATCCGAAGAGGGAAAAACAGCCACGCGTTCTCTTAGCATCTGAAGCAACAACACATCGTTTGTTTTGATTATCACGTAAAATACGCTAGTTGCACAGTATAATGTTGACCATAATACATCAYGATGGCTCAAGACTAACGCTAACTTTAGCTGTGCTACTATCATGCGAAACGTTGCAAAAAACGCCAGAAACATTAAAACTTTAAATATTTAAAGCGAACGAACAGTTCATTTTCCAAACAATAACTTTCTCGTACCAAACATGATCCAAGCAAGAAAAATTTAGAAACAAGCAACATGCTAGTCAGGTCAGCCTTCTTATCGTTAGCATGTCAGCTAACTGCTAGCCACATTGACGGCTAGCTATGCCAACTTCTCGACGCTGCAAGCTAACATAGCCGCTACTTAAGACCTTCATTTTGCCGAAAGACCAAAACTACATTAGGATGTGCTAACCGGAACTGATCGAGCAACTAATATTTGTTAACTATTTTGTCTGGTTGGCAAGGTTAAGCAATAACTTGCTACAWTTAGCACAACAACCAACCCCGATTACCACAAGAGGATCTCTCGGCTAACCAAGCTAACATCAGTTTAACTTACCGCGAGCTGCTGCCACCATCAGCGACAACTTGACGCACCAGTTTAATGGATCCCGACCGGCTACCCGTTAGGTGTACATTCACCCGATGTGAACAAGAGGCGAGGTTCGGAGAAACTCTAAACGTAAATAAAATTGTCTGAGTGTCGCTAACAACAGTGTATGTATGAAGCGGTGTTCCTTGAACATGGAGGCGTGTCTATCGTGGAGGCAGGTGAGGCTCCTCCCAGTCTGCGCTCTGATTGGTCAGTTTTACAGAATGAAAACAAGCGGCCGAATATTATTTTTAATCACACCAAGTGCAATGTTATCTGTACTGTGTGGACCACAGACCTGAACAGTTTGGGACACAATCGGTCCTTGGGCACTGGGGTGTAAGCCTCACCCTGCTGAAGTCCAAAAAACGTATAAGCTGAGAGAAACAAAAACACAACCACAAAGTATGCGAATTCATGMGTTTTCACTGCACTACTGCATTTTATGTAAAACACAAAACCCCAGAAARTAATTATATCTGGAGACAACATGAAGATGAAGAGGAATATCTGTCTAAAAATGTAGAATCACAAATAAATATTAAGAAATCTTACAAAGAAAAATGTTTAGGGATATCACAAAAGTTGCTTTTAATGTTTGGTTGAGTCTTTCATAATTATTTTACAAAAGCTTTGAACAAAMCTCACCATTACCACATAAACAACCATTAACATAAGGTTTAATAATATTTTTAAAGATACAAACAACATGCAACTGTATTAAAAAAGATTGCAGTTTTATTACAAAATCGATAATGTGACAGAATTATTTACATTTAGTTTTCTAATCTTCGTGACAAATTTAGCTTCTCCTAATCGCTTATTATTTTTGAATACTGCAATATATTTATAGTTTATATGATTACAATTTGTTACAAACAAAATATTAAGAGAGATAGAAAACTGAAAAACGTCTACTGTCTCAACTGTCAGGCCTCATTGGAGCAAAGTCAAAAACAGGAATCACATTGCAGGGAAATGATTTAGTTTTTTTTTTATAGCTTTTCATTTACAATTTCAATTAAAAAAACACCACTAGAATCAGCGAGAAGTGTGGAAAATCCTATATCCTTGTCTTCTGACAGTCATTCACATGTTCAGTTTTCATCTCAAATACAGCTCTAATGTGGGCTGAAGACATTGGCGGTRTATAATTATTAGAGGTCCCAAATAGAGAAGTGAAGTGCTCCAAAGTGTGACAGATCATCGTCCAGCAGCATGTTCAGTGAAGGACGTTYATTTGAAGAATTATGCAGATAGTTGTGAGAATTACTCCTGTTGTCACAGGTGTGGCCATTTCTGCAGAGAAAGGAAGTTAAATATACTGAATATAGAGATCATTTTTATAATTGTAAAAGACATTTATCTTAAATAGAAACAAATTGAGAAAATAATGYGCCTTAAGTGATTTTTGTGGGACTATATCAAATAAAAAAAAATAAAAATATAGCTTTTGATGAGCAGATGTGAAACAAAAACCAATGCAAATCTCAAACATATTTTATTTATAGTAGCATAAGTAGCATTTTAAGTGTTAATATTTTTTGGGAAAAAAGTATGGTAAAACGTTCAAAAAGTTGGGTCAGGGTCAGCAAAAGCTGCAAAATGAAGTACAAAGTACATTTGTGCTGGAGGCGAATTTTGCAAGGAATTAAGTCATTTTACAGAGGCTGAATCTCTCAGGTGTACAGAGGTTCACTCGTCCACAAACAACTGCTTATAAACGTAGTGGAACAATTTCAAAATAATGTTCCTGAGTGGAAAACTGGAAAGACTGAATATCCTGTCGTCTACAATTTATCAGGGGTGTAAATCATCAGCTTTAACACAGTATAATTTCAATTTGTTTGGTTGATGATACAAAGTTTCTATTAACCACGCAATGCTAAACCACATGCTGCATCTATTACAACAGCATGGTTTTTATAGTAGGAGTCCAGGTGATGAACTGACCTGTACGCTGTCCTGAACCTGTCACCAAGTGAAAACTTTCCTGAATCATAAAAAATCTGGCAAAGAAGATCCAGGACTGTTGAACAGCTACATCAGACAAAAATGGGACATTTCCCTACAAAAACACCAGCAGCCAATTTTCTCAATTCCTAGATGTTTACAGACTGTTAGAAGAAGAGGGTATGCTTCAAAGTGGAAACATGGTTCTCTACCAACCTATTTGAGATGTGTTGCCATCATAACACTATCTTTCATTGCGAATAAAATCTGGGTTTATGAGATTTGCACATCCCTGCATTCTAGCTTTATTTATTTTACACTATGTCCCAACTTTTGCAGAAGTGGCTTTGAATTAATTTCCTTTAAAAGTAAATAAGTTATACACAAGATGGAATGCAGTTCACAAAAAATAAGATCACTTTTGCATGACTCGGCACAAAATACAGATAAAACACTAACTGAGCATGTTATAATCTTACCACATGATGAAGAAGTTGAGGAGGTATTTAATGATGTAGGTTGTGTGGTAGTTCTTGTAATCAGTTTAGTAGTTGTATTGGTATTTGGGATGGTAGTTGGACCAGTGTTTGGAGTTGTGGAGATGGTTGTAGTGCTCGGAGCAGGGGTGGTGACCACAAGGCTCACAGGTCCAGATTTGACTGTATACAAGCTAGAAAACATACTTCCAACTAGGGTTGGCGAGCTGCCATCACGGGTACACAGATTGGGGCAGGAATGTGAAGGCATGGTGGTGATGCACAAATTAACTTTGCACTCGACATACATCTGTACGGAAGAAGAGCAACAGTTAGGAAAAAGAACAAACATCAGCATCATATAAAAAGTCTGAAAAGAATGTAAACATTAACATTAAATGTTTAATATTTAACGTAAACCTACAAGTATAATTAGGTTTTGCCAAAAGCAACAGGTTGATATAGAGCCTTGATCAAAGTACTCATATTTATTTAACTTTTCCACATTTTGACATGTTAAAACCACAAGTGTTTTATTGGGATTTTATGTGATAGACCAATACAAAGTTTTATATAATTGTGAAGGAAAATGATCCATCCATTATTGTTTTTCACATTTCCCTTTCTTGGTAGCAGAGGTTGCTGGGTGAGAGGTGGGGGGCACACTGGACAGGTCGAAAATCCATCACACACACACACACACACACACACACACACACACACACACACACACACACACACACAC